AGTAGAGATTAGCTGTTAGCAGAAAAGAGAGACAGAATCATGGGACAAAGATAAGTAAGATAAATAAATACACACACACACACACACACATATATATATATAGTAAAAATTTAATAATAAAAGAATATAAAACAAAACTGAAATATACTAATTAATCATCCTAGTCCTTAAAATATTAATCCATGAAAAATAATTGGCTTCAAAAATGCTAGAAGTGAGAAAAAAAACAAATGTGAATATGTATAAATATCCATGCACCATTAAGGATATAATTAAACAGGAAAAAAAGAAAGGAAAAAAAATTTCAAAAATCTCAATGAAAAGTTAAAGAATTATTTCCAGTGGAGTTCAGTAGATTCTCAGCTTCCCTTTTCAGCAGTGGGCCATTTTTAAAAATCTTGTTGAGTAAGTCTGGTTATAGATGAAGGAATTGGCTACTTTTTCAATATAATATCAAAGCTTTTTCTTTGTAGGGAGATGGTGTTGTGAAAGTCTAGGTCCAAACTCCAAAAGTCATTCTCAAGAGCTTAAAAGTTTTGAAAGCTCCTGGAAATAGTTATTGTCTGTCTTTTCTTTTGGTGTTTATTTATCTGATTTATTTGACTCCTGTGTAGAGTTGCAAGTTCTCCCTGCACCACATAATTAGAATTCAAGGGATTTTAGAATACTACTGCTCTCTACTTTTTTCTTTTATGATAAAAAATAATTGTTCATATTGTTTTGCCTGATGTTATGACAAAATTAGAACAATTAATGCCCACCATGAAAAGAGCTTCAAAGGGGCCACTTCGTGGCAACTTGGTCTTTTGGGAGAGTGACTAATTTGGTTCATCTTTGGTTTAGGCCCTTAAATCAATACTCTCTTTAATAGTGACTTTTACATAATTTTCTACATGTAGTGCTATTTAATGGGACAAAGCCTGGGTTTTGTTAAAATCTGTAGCACTAAGGTTTGAATTTTGTTGTGTAACCTTAATCCATTATTCAAAATTTCTGAATTGACTATTCATGTCTGTAAAATTGGGATATTATCTATATTATAAGTTTGAGAACAAAATCATATAATGATATAATGAACCTGGCACTTACTAGGTGCTCCAAAAATTGTTAAATTATTATTGTTATTGTCAAGATCAAGGTTATCATTTATTTCTTAAAGTTTGAATGACTTTCCTATTACTGATTCATTAAATATTCTGAAAAGTACTTTCCAGTGTGAGGAGTAGGAGAGGAAGGAAAGATATTTTAACAGAAGAGAGGATAAAAAGTATCAGGGAACATTCCTGATTTGTTGTTGTTTTGGGGAACTGCTTGTTCACTGATGTGCATTGGAGTTTAATGATGGGAGAACAGGTTAACAACTGATCTAGAAGATACTTTCTTTGCTTTCATAAGTTGAAGAACATTGTCAATGCCTCACATCCTCTATATTCTTATTGACATGTATTCAAATTATACTTATTTTATATCCTTATAAGACATTATTGTTATTTAGTGTAATCGTTATTTATTTATTTATATTTACCCACATAGTTATTTTCCCATTATTCTTAATTTCTTCAATTCTTGTAATCAACTCGTGACATTTTCTTTCTTCCTTTAGAACCTCTTTTAGAGGGGGGCTGGGGTTGTGGCTCAGTGTATGAGGCACTAGGTTCACCACATATAAATAAATAAATAAAGGTTCATCAACAACTAAAAACATCTTTAAAAAAAATAGAACCTCTTTTAGACTTTCTTTTAATGTAGGTACATTGGTTATGAATTTTCTTAGATTCTGTTTTATCTAGAAATGACTTTATTTCATCTTTAGTTTTTGAAGGATATTTTTGCTAGTTACAGAATGCTACGTTGGCAGTTATTTTTAGAATTTCCACTTTCTTTAGAAAATGGATTCTGGCTTCCTTGTGAAATTCTCCATTCTGACATGTGTTTTCTACACCTATCATTGTTATTCTAAAGCCTTTGTTGGATAGATATAGGTAGTCACAGAACTCTTTCTATTGCCCGTTCTTTTTTTTTTTCCTTTTCCCTCTTGGTCTTATTTGGGGATGTGTCTGGTCTGGTAGTTTATCACTGGAGACTGGTCTTTAGGTATGAAAGGTTGTGAAGTTTTTGAGACAGGGGTGTGGGATGGGGAAATAGTACCTCAGTGTGGTCAGGGGCTAAGCATTGAGTGAACACAAAATTCTTTTTCAGACTTTAGTAAGGGTTAGTTTACCTCTAGTTTACCCATGCTCCTAAGGGGTGAGTTTCTTGGAGCCACAACAAACTGTTAGAGTGTTTACCAGGGGTCTTCTCTTTGGTTAGTTTGAACTCTTTATTTAGTTTAAACTCTTTAACTTTTCTTTCCTCATCACTGTGAGATTACAAAAAGCTCTGCTGGCTTGAGTTCACAATTCCATGCTCCCTTTTTCTCCAGAGTCTTTGCTCTTAAGTCCCGGCTGCTTTGAAAGGCCCACATGTGGGTTTAGTGTCCTTATCCCTGTGAAATTGCTACATATTCTGCCGGCTCCTCTACCTCCTGGCAGGAGCCCTCTGCCAGCTTCTTGGAGTCCTCAGGGTTAAAGCAACACAAAGATGGGCTCCCTGAAGTGAGCTTCCTGACTTCCTGGATCTTGGTGCCTCCTACCTTGGCTGCCTTGGAAACTCTCCAGCATCTTCAGTACCCACTTTTCTAGTTGTTCTCAGAAAGTAGCATTGGTTTGCTATAAAGATGCTTTGTTCCTTAATTTATTTTCTTTGTATTAAAACCTTTTCTGGATAGTGTGTTGTGCAAAATTCTGCTACCTAACTCAGAAAAAACCCTCTGTGGACTGCACAGCAGGGAGTTCCTTGAGACTTCCTTGCTGTTCTTCAGTCAGATTTGTGTTGTGATCCGTCAGGTCCCCCCAGGCTTCCCTGTCCCTCTCACAGAGATCAACAAGTTTGGTGGCAAGGCTACTTAGGGAGATGGAATTACCAAGTTTTCATTTGCTATATTGGTTTTCAAATGCATCATCATTTTTTCCATTTTATAATTTCATTTATTTTAGAGAGAGATTTAAATTGTGTTTGAGTGAATATTTTACTATGGATTTTAAAAAATAAACAACAAATATTTAAAGTTTTAATTAAAAGGAAAGTACAATGATAAAATATACAGTGAAACCTAAACTGAAGCAACCTGAATTGTTAGAATAAATATGAAAAATTCCATGAAGAAAAACTTTTGCAAATGTGATAATGTGTCATAAATTAAAAAAAAAATAATTAAAAAATGTGATAATGTGTCTTGGGCTGAGGTTGTGGCTCAATGGTTCAGCACTTGTCTAGCATGCATGAGGCACTGGGTTTGATCCCCAGCACTACATAAAAATAAACAAATAAAGGTATTGTGTCCATCTACAACATATATATATGTGTGTGTGTGTGTGTGTGTATATATGTGTATATATATATATATATATATATATATATATACACACACACACACATATACACAACATGTATATATCCATCTACTATATATATATATATATATATATATATATATATATATATGTAAATGTGATAATGTGTCTTATTTTACATTTGTTTTCTCTTGATTAATAAACATTGGATAATGTGTTTTTTTGGATGATTGTGGGAAAAATAAAAGTGTCTTAAAACTGCTCATTTGCATTATAGTTTATGAATCTAATAGAAAAAATAAGAACCCAGCTAGATCATCAAATGGCAAATCCAAAATTAGCAACAAAACTCTTCAATTCCCTTCTTTCTTTTTTTTTGTGCTGCATTTTATTTTTTTTATTTGTTTTAATTAGTTACACATGACAGTACAATGATCTTGACATATCATACATTTGATTCAGATGGGGTATAATTTCGCATTTTTCTGAGTGTACAGGTTGCAAAATCATATTGGTCATACAGTCACATATCCCTTCTTTCTTATGCAGCTACTTGCTTGTTATAATGAAAGACCTTTGGAGCTGGACTATTTTTACTAACATACACAGTGGGAAATCCTTCATAATAGTCAAGGAAAAGGGGCCAATCTCTGACTTGCTTTAAAATTTTATTCTCTGTATTAACCTTCAGATTGTACCTCTTAGACCTCCAACTGTAGGAAGCTTAAGTGACCAAAGGTACCAATGGTTATGCTCTGAAGTGCACTGCTGCTTCTGAGCTTTGGATCTGTCCCTGGGGCTGCTCCCAGCCAGTGATACAGAGGAGCAAGGATACTAGAACTGCCACCTCCCTGGGACTTGGGACACTCCTCTAACAGATAGCTGACTGGAGCACTCCCAGGTGAACTTGCTGAAACCCTCCTAGACTGCACAGCAGGAAGTTCCTTGAGACTTCCTTGCTGTTGTCCAGTCAGATTTGTGTTGTGATCTGTCAGGTCCCCCAGGCTTCCTGTCCCTCTCACAGGAATTTCCTTTAATGAAATGCATGTTCAGCCTGTCTTGGCTTCTGTTTCTCAGAGGTTCTAGACTAACACATTCTCTTATATTTCTATAGAAAGATACTGTTGTGAAATTACCAAGGAGAGAAACAATGTTTACTATAATTTTAATTACAATAGTATTCTAGTATTCCTAAATTCTTAAGTTTAGGAAAGTTAAACATCCTGTAATTGAATCTCTCAATTTTTTTCTCATATTAGTTTACTGTTAATTTGTATAAGCTTGCTTTCAGAAGGACTTGAATTGTTACAGTAGTTGGATTAGGAACTCATGTTCTAAAAAATGTCAGTTTACTTAGGGTGATTGGATGGTTGGTCATGAAGCCTATTGAAAGTTCATAATTCATCTTTAAAATATCTAAGGTATCCAGTGAGAAATTAGCAGGAAATATTTCTGAGGGCATGATATTTTGTTAGGAAGGAGAATAGTTCAGTATGATAGTAGCAGATTGGTTTTTTGCAAATATTTGGAAATTCTCACTTTCATTTTATATGACAAGTGCTTATGTTTTATGTTACAGTGCTAAAATTCTTTTGTTTTTCTTTCCAGAATCATAGTGAGAGATATGTTTTCATTGCAGAGTGGTATGATCCAAATGCTTCACTTCTTCGTCGTTATGAGCTTTTGTTTTACCCAGGGGATGGATCTGTTGAAATGGTAAATGAACCTTTTTTTTACTTGAATGTAGACAAAGCAGGTGAACGTGAGACAGGAAGAGGAATAGAGTTACCTTTTATATAGTTGCTTTAAAAAATATACTTCTGTGTGTATAAATTCTTTTTTTATTCATTATAATACTGATACAAGAAGATAACTTTGTGCCTGTATTTTGTTTGTTTGTGTGTGTGTGTGTGGCTGGGAATCATCCTCAGGGCCTCATGTATGCTAGGCAATACTCCCCCATTCTGTGCCTTTATATATATTTTTTTCTTTTTTAAAAAATTTGTTTAGATGGAAAGTTTGGGTTGCACTCAAGTCCAGGGAGAGAACACCAGGACTTCTGTTTGTTTGTTTGTTTGTTTGTTTTTTTTGATCTGTCACATTTACCAAGGCATCCAAGTCAGAAAAGCCACTAGGCAGTAGTAATATGATTCTGGAGGGAGGAAAGATCTGAGATAGATCTGATTGTTAAGAATTTAATGCTTTACAAGTGGATCAGATCACCCAGAGGTGATGAAAGGAGAAGAGTGGGACAGACAGAGGGCAGATACTGATCAAGGTAAGTTATACATAGGAGCTCATCACCATGAATCCCATTCTTTTGTACAGTTAACATGCAGAGATGGTGCAGCCTATCATCCCAGCAACTCCAGAGTCTGTACCAGGAGAATCTCAGATTCAAGGCAACTTAGTGAGATCCTGTCTCAAAATAAATAAAAATAACAAGTGGCTCTGTGGGAGAGCCAGCGTGTCCATGCCTATATTTTTCATATAAAAAATTGGAATATTTTTATCAGAAAACTGAAGTAGGATTATTCATGTTTTGGATTAAGCAATAACTGATAAGTGGTTATAGATAAAGGTATCATGGTCACAAATATCATCACCAAAAGTTGTAATCTCTGCAAAAAGTCAAATTGAAGAGGATCGAGGGCCCTTTTTTTACCATTTCATTGTCCCTTTAAGAAGTAGGTCTATTTGGTATTAAGAATGTATATGCAAGAAAATAGAAATTTGGGCATGTTGGTCTTCTCTGGGATTTCATAGGACTAATTTGTTGAAACAATTTGGCCATAAACAAATCTTTGTTTAAGAATGATATATGTGTAATAAGACACTTTTATGTTATTACTAGGTTGGATTAGGAAGTACAGAATTTATAATATACAAAATTGGGATTTGGGTTTGGTATGGTGGTGCATGTCTGTAATCCCAGTGACTTGGGAGCCTGTGGCAGGAGGATTGTGAGTTCAAAGTTAGCCTCACCAAAAGAGAGGTGCTAAGAAACTCAGTGAGACCCCATCTCTAAATACAAAATAGGGCTGAGGATGTGGGTCAGAGGTCAAGTACCCCTGAGTTCAATCCCCAGAACCCTCCACCTTAAAAAAAATTGTGATTTATGTTTGCAGCAAAAAATAACCTTTTTTAAAAACATTTTTTAAATACCTTCATTTTATTTATTTTTTATTTATTTTCATGTGGTGCTAAGTATTGAACCCAGTGCCTCGCACGTGCCAGGCGAGCGCTCTACCGCTGAGCTACAACCCCAGCCCCCAAGAACCTATCTTTTAATATGCTAGAAGTAAGAATTATTTCTACCTCATGATAAGGTTAACATTCTTTATTGATAATTATAATTTTGTTGTGTTATTGTTTTTGGTTCTAGCATGATGTGAAGAATCATCGTACGTTTTTAAAGCGGACCAAATATGATGACCTGCGCTTAGAAGATTTATTTATAGGCAACAAAGTAAATATCTTTTCTCGACAACTAGTATTAATTGACTATGGTGATCAATATACAGCTCGTCAACTGGGCAGTAGGAAAGAAAAGTAAGAAAATTATTATATAACCTTCTTTTTCATTCAAAACAGTATGCATGAGGCTTGGTACCATATTTCCTGTTCCTGTTGTGTTTTCACAATGTGGAGATTTTTCAGTGAGCCAGTTAAATGTTATGACATTTTTAGAATATTTGTGAGTAGATTCTGTAATTTAGTGTTCAATTAGAATAACAGAGTGATATCCGTAGTCTTAGGCAGTGATTTTTTCTGGGGAAAAAAAGACAGAGTTTTAATATGCCCATCATTTTTCATAACATGCATCTCACTTGGAATTAAGAGTATTTTGATATACAAAATCTTGCTTTAGGAAAAACATGACTTATGGGAGGAAAGAGAAGCATTAAGTGTTAAAAGCTCAATGCAGGGCTGGGGATGTGGCTCAAGTGGTAACACGCTCGCCTGGCATGCGCGGGGCGCGGGGTTTGATCCTCAGCATCACATAAAAATAAAATAAGATGTTGTGTCCACTGAAAACTAAAAAATAAATATTAAAAAATTCTCTCTCTCTTTAAAAAAAAAAAAAGTTCAATGGGAACTCCAAAGCAAGTAAAGTAGTGATTTCAAGGAAAGCTTTGTGGAGGTGTTTGGGCTCCATGATGAAAGATGGATTGAATATTTACCAGGTAGATGAAGTGGGGTGGAGTCCGGGCTAAATGGAGGAGCATAAGCAGGGGTAGAAGGCAAGAAATTGTACATCTTATACCGGGAGAAGCCTGTTGCTCTGCCTGGATAATGTGGTGGTTCAATTTTTGTGAATGTTTATTTTGTAAGATAGCAGTCTAAGTTAGGAACAGTAGGTGTGAAGAAGAAAGAAGGAATGTGCAAGCCAGGCACGGTGGCACATGCCTGTAATCCCAGTGGCTCAGGAGGCTAAGGCTTGAGGATCAAGAGTTCAAAGCCAGTCTCCGCAAGAGTGAGGCTCTAAGCGACTCAGTGAGACCCTGTCTCTACATTAAAAAATACAAAATACATCTGGGGATGTGGCTCAGTAGTCAAGTGGCCCTGAGTTCAATCCCCAGTACCTCCACCTCTTCCCCCAAAAAAGAAGGAATGTGCATGGTTAAAGAAGTGGAGTGACAGTGATGGGAGCATGCAGTGGCTGCTAATTGTTATATATGGCACAGTCTTGAATGATTTGCATGCATCTGATTTAGCCCCACGACATCATCTCCACTTGTAGATTGGGAAGTTGATGCTTAGTGATCGTAGGTAGCTTGGTGAAGTTCACAGTAGAAACCAGATTTAAGCCCAAAGTCAGTCTGAATCAGGAATGTCAGGATTCAACCAGAGGAACATGGGTAGGACCTGGAAGATAGTTGCTTTATTCTGTCTTAGTTCATTCTTATGTCTCCTTTGGCACTTAGCACATCTCCTTACACATTGCAGACACCTGATCTGTGTTAAGTAAATGAATTAATAAAGAACAAGGTAAAATTTATCCATTCTTTTTCTATTTCCTTCCTGTTTTCAAATTGTGACCTCCTTTGATCTAGTTGACGAGGAAGTTCTTGCTTAGGTTGTTTGTCACTAATGTTGTTTATTCTTGAGCTTTATTCACAGAAATAACATGTCCAATAAATATCTGAGCAATTAAAGAAAGACTTTGAGTGTTGTAAAAAGGAAAAAAAAAAAAGAGAGAGAAAGAAATCATATTCAGGCATTGTGGTACAGGGAAACTAGTTTGCCTTTCTTGTTCACAGTTGTATCCCTAAGGACTGTTGTGGTGATACCTACAATGCTAAATTATTTATAGGATATATCCCACAAAAAATGTGAATAATCACATTATTGAAAATAGCTGCTGTGTCAGGAGGATGTTTCCAGCTGGCGGCCATTCCTGTTCCTCTCTTCATCACTCCCGTAGCGTGTTGCTTGTGTGGTCAGCTTCCTGCTACATACCTTAGATAAATCAGCCTATAAAGAGGAAAGGTATCAGCCTTTGGCCAATTGGCCTCATGGCTTTAGGCCTGTGGTGGCACAGCACATCGCCGTGAGAGCAATCCGAAAAGAAGGCCATTCTCCTCAGGGTTGGGAAGAAAAGAGAGGAAGAGGAGGGGCCTGTGGTGCTACTACAGTCTTTGAGGACTCGCCCCCACTGACCTCAAGCCCTCCCACTAGGTCTTTTTTTTTTTTTTATTGGTTGTTCAAAACATTACAAAGCTCTTGACACATCATATTTCATACATTAGATTCAGGTGGGTTATGAACTCCCAATTTTACCCCAAATACAGATTGCAGAATCACATCAGTTACACATCCACATTTTTACATAATGCCCTATTAGTAACTGTTGTGTTCTGCTACCTTTCCTATCCCCTACTCTCCCCCCTCCCCTCCCCTCCCATCTTCTCTCTCTACCCCATCTGTTGTAATTCATTTCTCTCCTTGTTTTTTTTTTTTTCCCATTCCCCTCACAACCTCTTATATGTAATTTTGTATAACAATGAGGGTCTCCCTCCATTACCATGCAATTTCCCTTTTCTCTCCCTTTCCCTCCCACCTCATGTCTCTGTTTAAACTTTTCCTCCTGCTCTTCCTCCCTGCTCTGTTCTTAGTTGCTCTCATTATATCAAAGAAGACATTTGGCATTTGTTTTTTAGGGATTGGCTAGCTTCACTAAGCATAATCTGCTCTAGCGCCATCCATTTCCCTGCAAATTCCATGATTTTGTCATTTTTTAGTGCTGCGTAATACTCCATGGTGTATAAATGCCACATTTTTTTTTATCCATTCATCTATTGAAGGGCATCTGGGTTGGTTCCACAGTCTTGCTATTGTGAATTGTGCTGCTATGAACATCGATGTGGCAGTATCCCTGTAGTACGCTCTTTTAAGGTCTTCAGGGAATAGTCCGAGAAGGGCAATAGCTGGGTCAAATGGTGGTTCCATTCCCAGATTTTCCAGGAATCTCCATACTTCTTTCCAAATTGGCCGCACCAATTTGCAGTCCCACCAGCAATGTACAAGAGTACCCTTTTCCCCACATCCTCGCCAACACTTGTTGTTGTTTGACTTCATAATGGCTGCCAATCTAACTGGAGTGAGATGGTATCTTAGGGTGGTTTTGATTTGCATTTCTCTGACAGCTAGAGATGGTGAGCATTTTTTCATGTACTTGTTGATTGATTGTATGTCCTCCTCTGAGAAGTGTCTGTTCAGGTCCTTGGCCCATTTGTTGATTGGGTTATTTGTTATCTTATTGTCTAGTTTTTTGAGTTCTTTGTATACTCTGGATATTAGGGCTCTATCTGAAGTGTGAGGATTAAAAATTTGTTCCCAGGATGTAGGCTCCCTATTTACCTGTCTTATTGTTTCTCTTGCTGAGAAAAAACTTTTTAGTTTAAGTAAGTCCCATTTGTTGATTCTTGTTATTAACTCTTGTGCTATGGGTGTCCTATTAAGGAATTTGGAGCCCAATCCCACAATATGTAGATCGGAGCCCACTTTTTCTTCTATCCGACGCAGAGTCTCTGATTTGATGTCAAGCTCCTTGATCCATTTTGAGTTAACTTTTGTGCATGGCGAGAGAAGGGGATTCAGTTTCATTTTGTTGCATATGGATTTCCAGTTTTCCCAACACCATTTGTTGAAGATGCTACCCTTCCTCCATTGCGTGCTTTTAGCCCCTTTATCAAATATAAGATAGTTGTAACTTTGTGGATTAGTCTCTGTATCCTCTATTCTGTACCGTTGGTCCACCCGCCTGTTTTGGTACCAGTACCATGCTGTTTTTGTTACTATTGCTCTGTAATATAGTTTGAAATCTGGTATCGCTATACCGCCTGATTCACACTTCCTGCTTAGAGTTGCTTTTGATATTCTGGGTCTTTTATTTTTTCATATGAATTTCATGATTGCTTTATCTATTTCTACAAGAAATGCCGTTGGGATTTTGATTGGCATTGCATTAAACCTATAGAGAACTTTTGGTAATATCGCCATTTTGATGATGTTAGTTCTTCCTATCCAAGAACAGGGTATATTTTTTCATCTTCTAAAATCTTCTTCTATTTCTCTCTTTAGGGTTCTGTAGTTTTCATTGTATAAGTCTTTCACCTCTTTTGTTAGGTTGATTCCCAAGTATTTTATTTTTTTTTTTGAGGATATTGTGAATGGAGTGTTTTTCCTCATTTCCGTTTCAGAAGTTTTGTCGCTGATATACAGAAATGCCTTTGATTTATGCGTGTTGATTTTATATCCTGCCACTTTGCTGAATTCATTTATTAGTTCTAGTAGTTTTTTTGTAGACCCTTTTGGGTCTTCTAGGTATAGAATCATGTTGTCTGCAAATAGTGATAATTTAAGTTCTTCTTTTCCTATTTTTATGCCTTTAATTTCTTTCGTCTGTCTAATTGCTCTGGCTAGTGTTTCGAGAACTATATTGAATAGAAGTGGTGATAGAGGGCATCCCTGTCTTGTTCCAGATTTTAGAGGGAATGCCTTCAGTTTTTCTCCATTCAGAATGATGCTAGCCTGAGGCTTAGCATAGATAGCTTTTACAATGTTGAGATAAGTTCCTGTTATCCCTAGTTTTTCTAATGTTTTGAACATAAAGAGATGCTGTACTTTGTCGAATGCTTTTTCTGCGTCTATTGAGATGATCATATGTTTCTTATCTTTAAGTCTATTGATGTGGTGAATAACATTTATTGATTTCCATATATTGAACCATCCTTGCATCCCAGGGATGAATCCTACTTGATCATGGTGCACAATTTTTTTGATGTGTTTTTGTATCCGATTCGCCAGAATTTTATTGAGGATTTTTGCCTCTAGGTTCATTAGGGATATTGGTCTGTAGTTTTCTTTCTTTGAGGTTTCTTTGTCTGGTTTTGGAATCAGGGTGATTTTGGCCTCATGGAATGAATTTGGAAGAGCTCCCTCTTTTTCTATTTCCTGAAATAACTTGAAAAGTATTGGTATTAATTCTTCTTTAAAGGTTTTGTAAAACTCCACTGTATACCCATCCGGTCCTGGGCTTTTCTTGG